TCTGTGCAATGAAAAACTGTCAGCAAAGTGGAACAGAGGCATTTACAACAGGTTAGGCGTCAGTCCGTACAATAGAGAATACTTAAATGTCTTCGTCTCTCCCATGAAATAATATTAAGTTCAGTGATCCTATGGGAGAGACTTAAAAAGAGAGAATGTTAGATTTAGCGGATTAAGGTTCCGCACCCCGGCTTTCGATGCATCCTCCTACTACGGAAAAAGTCCGACTTGATTCACAGGTAGATGTTTATGTGACAGGTCCCCGTTCTGACATATTTCATTAAATCCATATGCTTTTTCGATCAATATTTCAAATGGGGCGCTTAAAATTTGACAGCTGCCAGTTATCTGAGTGGACTGCTCGCGATGAACCCGCTCCAAAGTTTGGAAAAACGCAACAGTTATAATGTATGTATTTTGAGATGCGCATTCAATGCATTGAATCGTAGGAAAAGAGACGCATTTGAAGAAAAAGCAAGGGCTCTTTCACCAAGGCAATGCACTGTGTCACAACTTTGTGAAAAAGATGATAAAAAATACAACGATTGAGCTTCAAAGTGCTCCCGCATCCACCGTATTATGCAGATTTGACCCAACAGTAATTACTTTCGGATCTCAAAAGAAACTTTCTTCGAATGACGAAGTGATCGCCGAAACTTAGCTCTATTTTTGAAGCAAAGGACAATTTTTACTACAAACATATTATCGAAAAGTTGAACGATCGCTATAATAATAATTCTTAGAACGAAGCTATGTAGAGGAAACAAAATTCCCAAAAAATCTGTTTTACTGTGTTAGACAGAGGGCTTTTCATTTGACTTGTCGTACTTGACATTTAAAGCAGATTTAGGCTGCAGTAAGGAGGAAGGTGTATTTTCCAGATTACACCGAAAAGGGTGTGTGATAAAAACCCCATATTATTTTAAGCTTTTATGATCGACATTGTCATCGCAAGATGAATTTCGGTATCGGTACTGAATATAGAATTGTCTTCATCAAATGATTATCAAATCCGTATCTAGAAGGTTCATCATCAGCGAACTCAGATTCAAAATCAAACACCAGCAATGGTATTAACACTGCAGACTGAGGCATGCGCAAAAGGAAATTCGGTCAATAAAAAGTGCTCAAAACGTACATTATAGAGGCTCAGCACTTGCTGATTAAATATGCAGAGATTGTAAAAATTAAAAAATGTTGATAAATAAAAAGGTAATTAACGTTTTTTTCTTTTAATTTTTCCCCATGTTTTTTACATAAATTTTGTCATAACATTGTCAATAAATCATAAAAAATTATGAGTTATGCAGTAGGGACGATAGCCAGGTGTTTTGTGAACATTTAAAAAATAAATTAAGCAGATCGGTTGATTAGTTCGACCGGAATCATGTTCGCCAATTTAAACAAGTGTGTTTTGCGAAAAACGCGTTTAAAGCGCCAGGTGTGCACTCCGAGCGCTCCGAATCTTTAGTGGTATTATAATTTTTGGGCCTTTTTCGAAACTTTCCAAAGGTACAGTGGGTTTCTATATTAATTCTAAGGGTATAAGAGCACAGAAAATGCAAAAAAAAAAAAAAATTAAGATTACGCTACTAACCCTTTAAACACCCGTGACTGGTTAGGTTATGTGAATGAGAAGAGGCAAAGGTAAAATATTTATTTTAATCTAAAATTCAATGAAATATTTTGGTATTCTAGAGACAAATTGGATACTAAAAGACTTGACGGTTTAACCATGAGGAATATTGTAGTTAAAACATGCTGGTAAATATATAATTCGTTATAAAGATCGTGTTCCTTGTGTTAACAATGAAGAAACTAGAGTTTCATTGTATTTCGCTTCGGGGATGTCCGAGTACAAAGGCTTATTTTCTATTTCTTGGTCCCTACCTGTACCAAAACAACACTAAATCAAGCAATAGCAAAGATGTGTGAGATTCCTTTTTTAGTTAGAAAGCTAAATTTTAACATCATGTAGTGGTCGCACTAAGGTCAAATCTAGGTCAAAAGCAATAACTTAAAATGTACAGCAGACCAAATCGAAAATGTAAAATGCCTTCAAACTAAGAACTCTTCGCAACAACGCTAGTAAGTTATAATCAAAACACCAATTGTAAATGCGTGTGTAAGAAGACGCAATGCCGCAATCAATACCGTTACAATTCCAACAGACAGTAGTTGAATTACTCGCCTGTGCTTTTCACGCAAGAAAACTCAATTAATTTTCAAAGCTCAAAACTCATGAGCCCGTTAGAAGATGGCCGACGGATGTACGAATGAAGCAGCTGGGAGCAGGAAAACGCCGCTGCACAACTAAATTGCTTAGCGTTTTCTCTTTTTAGATGTTTTGGTTTTCACGTTTCAACGAGTGCCTTGCTTGCAAAATCAATTGGCACAAATCCTTTGGCAAAACGCAATAACTTAATTGAAATGGAATAACTGGCGGCAAACAGTGAGCGACGCTAACAAAACCAAAAAAATAGACCGAAGAAAGAATGAAAGTAAAAAGTAAATAGTAGCAAATGAGGAATGTGAATAGTTAAGGTGCAAATGGAAAATGAGAGGAAAGCAAAGCGGTGAAAACAATTGAAAATTTTTCGAGCGAAATTTCAACTTGCTTTGGGCGGACGCAACGGCATTGGAAAACAATTTGTTAAAAAGGAAATGCCAAATACAAAAAGTGATTGAATTGTAAGCTAACTGAGCAAATTAATGCTGTTTTAAGCGCCGCAGGTGTTGAAGTGAAGAAGCGATATTAGATGCCGTGTTACACATCATCAAAATCAGAGTGGCGAGATTTCGATAGCACACCATATAATGAATTCTTAAGTAGCTTTCAACAGCTTTCTTGAGTGGTAAGCGCCGCAATTGAACTAAATGTTGTTCACAGTCCAAATATGATTGACTCCGGCATCATCACTGTTTCCGCATACTGACGAACGGCAGGGGTATTTTCTATTAAAGTCTTCTTTTCGCAGAAATTTTTCTTAGCAAATTTATCAAGATATATATTTTTACTACCATCAGAAAGAAGAGATTTCAGCAGCCACATTTTAAGTTAACCTAAAACTATTTCTTGAGATTTTTAATTTAAAATTAGTGCTTTTTTTCATATTAAGTCAAACAGAGAAAAATAATATTTAAATTAAAAAACTGTGGGCTGTGACATAAAAAATAAAAAACCCAAAAGTTGTATGATTTGAATTTTCCAAATCAATTTTGAGGTTATGTGAAAAAGTCCGTATACAAAATAAGATATATAGATATTTTTATTACCGCTTTTAACCCTTAAAAATTTAACTGCGACCCTCAACTTCCCTTTTTACCTTGTCTTCGGTTTCTACAAGATTTCATTCTGCTATCAATTTATTTATTTTTTATAATTGTCAAAGACTTCTGCACTAGTCGTTTAGTAGTTTTATTTCTCTGTATATTGTTGAAGCGACTCTTTCCAAATTGGTGAAAGCTTGTGTAAGTTTGTCTAAAGTATTTTTTATGTCTGTGAACTTCCTAAGCGGAAGCATCATATATGTGTTATTTATTTTGACTTTGGACAACTTTAATTCTTTCGAGGTTTCAGAAATGAGCATTATTGTGTTATTTCTGTTGACTATGAATCACTTTCTGATTGTACTGTAATAAAAGCTTCATAAAAGCTTGATTTGTTTTCCTTACCTCTTTCGTGCTTTCAGAAATGACCTCATTTGTGTTATTTCTATTGACTATGGATCATTTCGTGATTAAACTGTAATAAAAGCTCGATCTGTTTGTCTTAGTTTTAGAGCTTTTAGAGTTGAGCATATTCCGCTGAAACTGTTAAATATTTATTTCATAAAAATATATTTTTATTTGAAAACTTAGAAATTTAAATAAAATAGGATTCCTGCAATGACCTCTTCAAGTTTTATTAACAACAGGCGTTCGATATGCATAATTATGCATTCTCCTTCTTTTTTTCTCCTTTTTTACCAACATTTTTTTACGAACTGAAATCATTATTCGACACAATGTCTCCCGGTGAACACCTGTAAAATAGTTTAATTCCATTGCTTGCCAAAATAATGTTCGAGCGCGTGCAGAACTTGCAATAAATCCGTTATAGACTTGCGCTTTACCGGCTCGCACACACAAACTTTGTGTGATGCCAATAACTCTTTGAAAATTATGTCCTAAAACCGCCTCTAAACTTCGAGCGTGCAACGGCTGCACTCAAATACAGTTCCATAAACTGCAGGTAAGGTAAGCGGTGGACGCGCTTAACAACAAAAAGGCGTCCGCAGGCATTCTGCAGCAAGCCAGTTCACCGTTACATTTGTCGCTGCAACACTCGATTTTGAATTATGCAAGTACAGTGTCGCCGACAGAGCTCGCACCGCGCCTGCAGGCACTAGAGCGGCGTGCAACCAACGGCCGGCCAACAAGCCCAGCAGCTTTTCTTCTACTTTCACACAACCGCACACACACACATGCAATTGCTTTGCGCTCTGCGATAATATTAGAAACTTTTCGTAGTGCACTCACACACACACGCGCGTGCGCTCGTATAAAGTTCGCGTTTTAGTGCTTTTGCAGAAAATTTTGCCGCCGCTCATAAGTGCAGTTACTTTGATTGTTGTTCCGCTTGTTGTTTTACGCTGCTTTAATTTTACGGTCGTAATTTTGTTGTTGTTGTTTGCTGCAAGCGTATATTTTTGAGTGTTTCCAGCGTAGAACGCTCGACCATAAATTCAATTCAATTTCCGCAAGTAGCGGCACTTCCGTTGGCTGCGCCTGCGGCTGCCGCGCCTGAAACTATGCACTTGACGGTACGTATTTTAGAGCACTTCCCAAGTGCTCACTTAGTAGATGACTTGCTTCTCGCAGCATTTAAGTCGCATAAATTTCACTGAGATTCGACCAAAGGCTAATAAATTTATTCTATTATTATTTTTTTTTTTCGTTATAATAGTGTTTCGAGGCATTTTCAAGGTGAAAGTTGGCGAAATAAAAATTTTGAACATCTGGCAACAGTAGAGAGGTGAGTTTGGTTTGATTGATTAAAAGAAATTTAAAATTATGAACGTTTCCGTATATTTACATTAATGTATTAACCGTTTGAGAATTTCACGTGTGGATTATTGCATAAATGAAATTATATGCTACTAGCGGACTTTTCAGTGGTTTTAGACGATATATGACTAAGTTTGTTATTATCAGGTATTGAGAAGAATTAAGTTTCAAACAAATTGAGAATTGAATCGATTACGATTGCCTAAGGCAATGAATCTTGTGAAAGCAATAGCCTCAATTTTCTGCGGTTTTCAAGCATAAATCAGCCAATACTGCTGCAATTTTACTTTCGAAGTTCATCAATCGTCGCTGGTTTGTTGCCATAGACCGCAGACTTGATGGAGAGCCCCCGGGAAAGAGTTTAACGGTGTCAAATTGCACGACCGATGCCAATTGACTGAGCCATTTCGTTAGATAACACGTTCAACAAACCTGGTTTTCAATAAATCGATTTCGACCTTCGCCGTGTGGCTTGTTGCACCGTCCTGTTGGAACCACTTATTGTCCAAGTCCACATCATCCAATTCGGGCCACAAGCTGCTTCAGTGCTTGCGTCTATTTGATCTTGTAAGGATATAGGCCAAGCTCTTTTCGGAAAATTCATCACAACGACGTGAAAAAGATGCCCAACACTTGAAAGCGACGCCTGAGAGTCTGCTTTGGGTCTTCCTCAATTTATGCGCTAGCGTCAGTAATAATTTCGACACTACGAACACTATTTTATCTCACTGTCACGGGAACAGTTTGTACAGTGCCTGTGGATTCATATGTTTTCACCAGACGCTCAATTTTTGATTGATAAATTAGATGTGGCGCTCTTAAAGTTGAAGCCACTAACTCAGAATTTCGGCAGTAAATTTTAATTGTTTTAAGTATATGTCTCTTTCTATGATGAAATGGCAAACCTTACTGAAAAAAATGTCAAAAGAGCGGGGAAAAATATGATGTCGTTTGCTGTTCCTGTTGGTCTGCTTTTCTAGCGTCCATATTGCAAACCCCGTTACATATAAGCCCATATCTAACTCGTTTATTATGAGGTGATAAAAACAAGACTAAAAAAATCTCCAACTAGACAGTATTTTGCCGAATATAAACCCAGCTCCGTTCAGGTTTCATACCCGACCCGACCTTTTCTTTCAAGTTAGAAAGCGATTAGAAACGAATTTTTATATTGTTGTAGACATACATAGCTTAGCTCTGAACCGCCGCCACAATCTTAAATCAACATCATTCAAATGTCAATTTGACAGCTTACGCATGACAGTTGACACAAGTATGACAGCTGGATATTTACAAAGTATGATCTCAAGCGATTGAAAATAATTTGTCGCTACCTTTTGTAAAATTTCTTTTATGCGAAGGCTGGACTTATTATTGGACAACTTATTTCATTAAGAAATTTTCAATACAAAAATGAAATTTTGTGTGTTTTCATTGCAATTATTGTTGTTATGTTTTATTTACTTTCCGGTTCGTCACTATATATTTATTTTCAAACTATTGCTTGCTATTTTTTCCGGGCAACCAAACGGCAAAGCATCATTTTCGCTGAAAATTTATTTCCACTTGTGCAATGCCAACAAACACCAAAAACATAAAAGACTGGCAACCAAGAAAGCGGAGAGTCAAGATTCAAGAGTAAGCATGAAACGCTGCATACTTGAAGGCGCTGCACACACGCACATACACATTCAAACGAAGCTGCTTGCAAGTGGCAAGGCAAACAATAAAGAACGCGGAAACAAGTGCATTGCGTTGAGAACGTGAGGGAGGCGGGGGTGTGTTGACTAGTGGGACTGACGCCGCCACCATTACAAACTGTAACTCCTATGTATATGTGTGTGGTGAATGCCATTGCGTTACAAGACGCGACACTGGGAGATACGTAGTCCCACACTTAACGACGCAGCGTTCAAGTATTGCGAGAAAACATCTTAACGGTATTTGCCACTACATTTTGGCGACTCGAAGACGCCAGGCCCATTGCCGTGCGGCAAGTGGCATTTGACATTTTCGGTGGCGAGCAAAATAAGGTCGCACTGTGTCAGCGTACACCAACACTTCGCCAAATTTGCTAATACTAATCTGCTAACTAGCTGTAGTGCGCTAGTTCAATTGCTGGTGTATACCACAGAATGTTAAGATCCATGCTTGTGTGTGTGTGCGGCGCGGTTGGCTGCTTGCCGCTTTACACTTAAGTGTCATTTGTGCCGCTGGCGATGGAAGAAGCTGCTGCAGCTAAGCACTCACAATGCCGCACATACAAATATACATAGGTGTATGTACACACATTCCTTAGTATAGTTATAGGCGTGTATGTGTGCGCGTGTGTGTAATAATGTGGTTATGCGCATGTTGATTTGCCTATAAAAACAAGTTTCGAAAACAACTTTTCAAGAATTGAAATTGCGGCAAGAGAGCATTTTGCGAATTTCCGCTTCAAGTGCGCTAAGGCAGCGATGTTGGCTGTGGCTCTTACTGCTGAAATAAGATTTTGCACGCACACATTTGCACTTCCAGTACATGTGAGGTTCGCTGATGACAGTTTGCACAATTTGAATGTTTAAATAAGTTTGAGCTGTGCGCAATTTCAAATTAAACTAGAAGTCCTGCTCTGAAGTTAACGAAAATGAATAACTGTATACATCTTTATATATAAAAATCGCATGTCACGTTGTTTGTCCGCGACTCCTAAACTACTGAACCGATGTTAGTAAAATTTAGCACACTGTATCCAGATCGAGCTAACTTAGAAGATGACTTATTTATGAAAAACATTCATAAATAAAAAAGTACAGTGAAAGCTCGTTTAAGCGAACAACTTTATCAACTGGACAGAAAGACTGGTAACCAGACATTGAGAGAGCAGCCTTAAATTCGATATTTTTCCCAATATAATTTATTTGTACGAACATGCTTAGAATTAAATCTCAAATGCAATCCTTTGGACTCCTATACCCACAAAAACAGTTGTTCGTAGATAAAGTTTTCACTGTATTGAATAGTTTATGACATAAATAATAGTATAAAATGTATACCACAGCAACGCGTGGCCGGATCCACTGGTATTATACTATAATATATTATATATTCATATTTGTAAAATTTAGTTTTTAATTTTTAAGCGTAAGCGGAACTCAGTAAATCGAAGTTTTTAACTTAACATAACTAAGATAGCACAACTAAAGTTGGTAAGGGAATTTGAGGTTGAAATAAGCGTGGTCGCGTCCTCTAACAGGTAAAATCGAAAGAAAACAGAAATAAGACTTCTCACTAACAGTCCCTTCCAGTTATGTCTTCTCTGAAGCAAAAAGGCTCCTAATCGAACCATTGATTTTCAAAATTCCCAGTTACCGAATATGTGGACCACAGGTCCCATGTCTGACTTTGTGACAAAAATATCGGTCAACCTTTGAGATATATTAATGTAAAGTATTCACCTGTATCAAAATATATATATGTATATATATATGTATATGTATATGTATATGTTTATTTATTTATGACTAGAGGACCTGTCCACGCTTCACTATGGCTGATAGATAGATAATACTACCACTACCATCTATATGATTTTTGTTAGTTGGATTATAACAATTTGTTAATGATATGTAGCATTTTTGTGAGAAATGAGCACCGAGGACAATGGTACTCTAAAGCGGCGAAAGCTCTATGCAAAGTGAGTGCCTCGCAAGTTCATAATCCAACAAAAACAACGAATAACTGATTCTGAGAAGTGATTGTTCTTTAATCGTAATAAAACCGAATTTTTGAATCGGTGTGTGACAATAGAAATATAGCTCCATCATTTCCCACTGAAGTCATATCGGCAGTCATTCTAGTGGAGTGCACATGATGAACCGGTTCCCATGCGTGGAAAAACGAAAAAGTCGGCTGGCAAGGTTATGACATCAGTCTTTTGGGACGCACGTGTGTAATATTCATCAACTGATTACTGAGCCAATTATAATATATTTCACTGTGTATTTGGTTGCAATTATTTTCTACTATTCCAAATACTTAGCAATTGTATTATTCTTGAAGAAGAATATGTTTAAAATTGTAAATTGATTTGAAATATAATTTTTGTATTTATGAGTTGTATTAATTCTTTACATAATCTAGGCTAACTCCCCTCGAATTTTCAACCAAATCGGTTCAGCCGTTCTTGTGTTATAAATGGTGTAACTAACGCAACTTTCTTTTACATATATTTATTTATTATTATAAATATAAACAAAATAAGTTACAATTTTATTAAAAATACCAAATGATATAAAAGTATATGTACATCCGTCAGATGTTGCGATAAAATTTAAAGAGCGAAGTTTTCTTTGTGTCCAAAATCGGCTGAGTACTTCCCTTATTTCCCAAATACCTAATTTAGTTATTTTCGATTTTCTAGTTAGCTTTACACAGCGGAATATGAACGAAATCGGTCTAAGCCCCAATCGTTAATAGAACAGCTTCGCGCAAACAAAGAACAACACTCAAATTGACAGTTCGGCTTGTCGAAAATAATTCGGAGTACACAATAACTCAATAATCGAAGAAAACTGTCAACACAACCTTGATTTACGACCTGCTTTGACGTGGTTTTTTCAGCTTCGGCTTGATCATCTGTTTCCGGTTCGTAAGCATTACTCCGAGACTCATCGCCGGTAATAATACGTTTCATGACATCCTGTTAGTCGAAAAGCGTATTTTCACAAATGTTAACGCGACATTGTTGTTTTTTGGAAAGAATTGAGTGATTTTGGAACCAATCGTGCATTTGCTTTCCGTAGGACAAATGATCTTTCCGATATTCCAACCAGTAAAATCTCTGACTTTTAATCGTCGATTCTCAAGCGCCAATTCTCTTTTGTTATTGACGTGTTGATCATCAGTTGATGTTAATGACCGAAGTGGATATGGTTTGTCGTCGTTGAATGCACTTCATCTGCTGTTTGTCGGAATCGTCGAACA